ATAAAACGAATCTCACGAGCCATTTTCTAACTTATATATATGTATATATATTTTGATCTGAAAATATGGTAAAAAGATTTTTCATTGTATATAAATTAATTGAATATTTGTATGCAATATGCCCTTTTCATGTTACATATCACGAAGATACATATATAGTATGGACTTGTCTAGTTACTGTAAAACGTACGTATGTTCTGACGTGCGTAGTTTATTAGTCATTCACTGAGGTGATCAATAACAAAAAGCAAAGAAAGAGAAAAACAAGCAAATGTCCAAAATACAAAGTTCATTTCAGTAATTATTTCTTTTTTTTAACGGACGGAATGTGATAGAATAATTAGTAATTAAAATGCATTTTGTGTACAAATATTTTTAAAATATCAATAAAATTTATTTCTTTTTTGGATTTTGCGGTTTTTTTATTTGTGTTCCTGTAATACCTAAATCAAAAGACATTGATTGTGGGTCTTGTTGTTGTTGATTGGATGTTGTATTATTATTATTATTATTATTATTATTATTATCATCATCAAGTTTAACTTGATCAAGTAATGGTGTTGGATTATTTCCACGTGCACTTTGTAAACTAATTGATTGTAAACATGAATTAATATCTAATACTGGTAATGTTGATGAACGACGATGATCAAGCATCCATTCTTTAAATGCAAGAAAATCGGTAAATGTTAAAAGAAATTCAAATATTTCTCCTTCTAATTCATCCTGTCGAGATTCTAATTGTTTCATAAATGTTTCAAGATTAAAATCCGGTTGAGAACGTTTGATTTTATTTAAAACATAATCTTCAATGATTGTTAAATATTCTCGATGAATATCAGTATAAATTAATTTATTTTCATCTGTACTTGGATCAAATTCATGAGCATATTTTGTTAAAAATCCTTGTTGAATTGAACGAAATTCATCATCCATTATCATATCTTCAATAAGACCAATTGTTCGATCAAATCGTTCAGTTTCAGGATCATTACTTTGATGTGAAGCAAATGTTTCATCAACATCATCAGTATCATTAAAATTTAAATCTATTGTAGTTCCTGCCATAATCTACAATAAATAAAACGAAAATTTCTTTTCAATGAATAAAATATAAAGAATGAATTTTTTTTCTTCTTCTAAAGTAATATTGCAATGACGTAATAATGTAATATGAGTCATCTATGTTAGTAAATAGAATAATTGGAAGAGAGAAAAAATGTTCTTTTCTTTTAAACTTGAAAAAGATCTTCTTAGTCATATTTTTTGTATAAGAAAATCTCAAATAATTATATAAATTTTCAATAATAACAATCTATTTCATTTTATACATTTCAAAAAACATATAATACGATGAAAAAAAAACGAAAGAAAGAAAATCATAGAAATAGTCATTCATTTGT